TTAAAGTAATATGTACCTAATTACACCTAATAAAGTGGGCCTGTTTTTGAGCGGAAAAAAAAAAAAAAAAAAAAAAAGTAATTTTAATATTTATAAGAATTTTGATTTTAAGCTACTTAATATAAAATTTAATAATTATAATAATATGTTGATTATCTTAAGCAATAATTGACAAAGATCTAATTATATCAATTTTTATATAGTTAAAATTTACTCAATAAATATAAAATAGAATTTTTCATATGGTTGCTTTCAAAAGTTTGAGTTCACTTACTATATTTTTATTATAAATTTTAACTTTGATAATTTTTAAATCATTAACTATACAGTTAAAAATTATTGTTGAAATAGAAGCTCAGCCTCATTTATTAACTTGATAAAGTAATTTACAAATTTAATTGCAGGAAATACATATTTTTATCATTTATATTGACAAACATTCCTAGAATTCTATTTTTAAAGGATTCACTAGATGGCTTGTTGCCCAGAAATATCTGATCAGATTAAATTTCTACTACTACCTATCTAGGAAACCTAGATACCACTATTTTTGGATCTTCAATCCTTCCGGATTCCTCCCAACTAACTTGCCAGGCTTGACTTGCTAGTTCCGTAAAAGGAGAAGTACACCTTTCAAGTAGTTCTGATGGACATGGCGCTGTTGCCGATTTTGGTACCTTTTCCAAATTTGTTTATGTTCAACCATGTTGATTGTGCCTTTTATAGGGAGAAAAACCTGCTTAGAACCGGAAGTGGAAAAACCCTGTTTGCATGAAACTGGAATAGAGATAATTGGTGTTTTCTTAGATCTGGTTGTATTTAGTGTCATAGACAGTTTTTCCATTCCATAAATCTTTCATATGGCCCTCATGTGGTATTGAACTATGGACCTTGTTATTGTGACCTGGGAGTACTATCATTGTGCTATAGACTCACAGGTCTTATACAGTCAAAAATTATAAAATTTATATATATTATATCTTAATGCTTATTCTATTTCTTGTATTTTTTAAAAAAATTTTTTATTAATATGTTCTAAAGTTTTATTATTGTTAAATATTTTTATTTTTTTATTAATTATTATATGATTTATAATAACAGCCAATCAAAATTCTCCAAAAGTAAAAATTTAATAAAAAAAGAAATTTTGAACAATAATAAAACTTTAAAAATTATATATTAAAAATTTTTAAAAAAATTATAATAAATAAAACTAGTAGTAAGATATGATATATGTGAATTAAAGAAACACTCTTTTCCATTCATCTGTGACACAGCATCACCCCAAGGTTCATCGAAAAAGTCTTATAAGATGGAAAGACCTAAACAATAACAATATACTAACAACAGACCAAACTACAATGTAGAGAAGCTCAGTAAGGGTATGGCAACCCCCATAGTAGACAAAAAAACACCCACTTTAGACAAGAAACCTAATGACAGTAAAAAACCCAAGACCATCCACAATCCATCCCTAAATCAACAAACATCTGATAGTATGAATAATAACCCAAGAAAAAACAAATAGGCAGTCAGGGACACTGCTCCGGAAGACCAGGGACTCAACCAGATAAACAAAACTTGGAGCGAACAAGTCGAACTCGAACAAAGACTGATAGAAATCTCCAACATGAATACACTGAAGAAAACCACTGCTATCTCCAACCCAGTGGCCCGAATAGATGACTCAGATATAGAAATGGATTGCAACAAAGAACCCGAAGATAGCTCAGACAGTTGGCACCAAGTCAGAGAAAATAAAGGCAAAGGTAAGAAAATCTATTCATGCCACTCAGGTATTAGACCCGACCAAGATCCTCTTTTGACTATCAGACAAGATATGATAGAGAAAGAATTAAACTGGATATCAAAGCTTCAAAACTACTTAAACAGACTATTCACCAAAAGATTACTCATATCACCAAGACGCTCAACTCCCTAGAAGGACTTCTTCTTATCCAACATGAATGTATCAATGAAGAAGATCATATCATCACCATATTTGGAGATCAACAAGCCACAGACAGCACAAGAAACATAACCTTATCTGAAAATGATGATAGCAGATTAACTCACATGCAAAAAATGATCAACAAACTAAATAAGGAAAACAGTATTAGGGCCTGGGACATCCCCTGAACACCAGACTTATAGATGTACAACAAACATTCGCCAAATTCAGACAAATTACCAACATCAAGATGACAAACTCAGCAAATATAGCAAACGGCAACAATCACATTCGCACAACAGGAAGACAAGACCAAACTCCTTTCCAATTGGAGCATTCCTATTAAAGCTGACTCAATTAGAATTTTTGATGCCTGCTGGGACCTAGATCAGATGAAGGACAGGGACCATTACTTCCTCAAACTCATGAACCTTTCCCCTAATACAACAGCTTTTGACTTGAGACACATCTGCCAGAAACTACAGGCAAAGACATGCTATATCCCCCATCTCATGTCATATAAATCCAGAAAATATGCCATTCACAGCTTCGAAGATGAAGAAACACTTCACTCAGCCCTAGAACAACATTTCAATCTTATGAAAACCATCATCAAAACGAAAGACATTCAAACCAAGCTCTGCACCATATGCGATAATTCACAACATCTTGTCACCAACTGTACCATCAAGGAATACAGGGAACAATTAAAAGAATTTAACCATGAACAAGCAGAGAGATTTGGAAAACTCTACAACTGGTTCAGACCAGCTGGCTCTTTCAGAATCTGCAGACTCACACATTCCATATCAAAACAAGATACAACATCCCCAGTAGTGTTCACAATTTTGATCCGAATCTGATTGATCCGTGAATCAGATATGAATCGGATCAGATCAAATATCAAAATTTTTAATCCAATCGGATTCGAATCAAATCGAATTTTAAATTTACAAAATTATCAGATTCAAATCGGATTCAGATCAAATCTGATATAATTCAAATTAGATATGTACCAGTCCATATAAATTGGTACATAATTATTTAATTTTATTTAAATTGAACTATCTAGAAAATTAAAATCGAATTGACATAATGTAATACATATGTAATTGATATAATGAGTAGATAGCAATTATATATAATATATAATTATGATATCCATAAATATAGCTTCTTTTTTTTTTTTTTAACTTTTCATCTCTTATTCCCATTTTTTCACTTTTTATTGTCACTTAATTATGGATAAATACTTATTTTTCTTTTGCACATATCAAGTTTGCTTTTGCTAAATAATTTAAATTTAATAATAAATAACTCTAATTTTTTTTAACTGATAATGATTTGATATAATCATTATATCTTGTATCTTTTTATAATTTTGATCGACATATTCATAAAGTCAAATTTATTGATAATAGGATAGAAGTTATGTATACTGATAGTGTTCGAAAACAATTCACATTTGCTATTTCTGCCACAGATATTAGAAGAAAAGAAATTTCGAAAAAGCTAAACACCATTCTTGAAATCAGTGATAATGTAAGCACAGATAATGAAAATCTGAAAGTGAAATATGAAGAATTTTTGAGTATATATATATATTTTTTTAGTTTGTAATTATCAATCGAACATGATATAAACTAATTTTATTTGTAATTCTTATAATGAAAGTTGACTCAAGTATAAATAAATTAATACAATTAATCAAACACATCGATAAAAAAAAAATCACATGTTAATAATTTTTTTAAAAAGTTATATTAACAAATCAAATTTTTAGATTTAACATGTAGAACTAAATCAATGGGGTCTATTCAACTGGATATATATATGTGCATATGTATATTTAATACAATTCGAGATTAGCTTTTGTTTCTTCATTAATTATATCCTTTAAAATAGGTGAATCGAAAAAGCAATTGAGTAGTAAAATAGATGAATCGAAAAAAGGGAAAGGGTGAGTGGATAACAACAGCAATGATGACAAATATAGTAAGAACAATATGGGTACATTCAATTTAACACAATCCAAGTTTGGCTTATTTTTTTTTTTTTTTTTTTTTAAAAACTGGCTCATCCCACACCTCCTCCAGTGCTTTATTAAGAAAAGATCATATTTAGCAACAATCGGGATGAATACTTTCCCGTACTATCTAAGGA